CTAAGATTCCTCGTAATTCTGGTTTGGTGGTGATGAACTCCTTTAGATTTTTCTTGTGTGGGAAGCTCTTTATCTGTCTTATGAGTCTAAATGATAGCTTTGTTGGGTAGAGTACTTTTTTTTTTTTTTTTAGCTGAGTCATCCTGCCACCTGTTGGCAGCTCAGTGGCTGCTCAGCTCAGGCTGGGATTCGAACCGCTGTTGCTCAGAGCTCAAACTCTTGAGCAATCTCTTAACCAACTGAGCCACTCGGCCGGCCCTGGGTAGAGTACTTTTGATTGTAGGTCTTTGCTTTGCATCGCTTTGAATATTTCCTACCAATCCCTTCTGGCCTATGCAGTCCCTGTTGAGCAATCAGCTGATATGATATTCTTATGGAAGCTTCCTTTTAGGTAACTAACTGCCTTTTTCTTGCTGCTTTTAAGATTCTCTCTTTGTCTTTAATCTTTGGCATTTTAATTATGATTTGTCTTGGTGTGGGCCTGTTTGGGTTCATCTGTTTGGGACTCTGCATTTCCTGGGCTTGAATATCCATTTCCTTTGCCAGGTTAGGGATGTTTTCAGCCATTATTTCTTCACATAGGTTTTCAATTCCTGCTCTCTCTCTTCTCTTTCTGGTACCCCTCTGATGCAAATGTTGGTATGCTTGATGTTGTCCCAGAGACCCCTTAAACTGTCATTTTTTGGGTTCTTTTTTCTGTTTGCTGTTCTGATTGTTTTTTTCTACCTTATCTTCTAAATTGCTGATTTGACCCTCTATTTCATCTGATCTACTGTTGATTCCCTCTAATGTATTCTTTATTTCAGTTATTGTATTTTCTCATTTCTGACTGTTTTTTTTTTTTGTTTTCTGTCTGCATTTTTATGGTTCCTATCTTTTTTATTGAAGTTCCCACTGAGATCATTGAGCATCCTTATAACCAGTGTTTTGAACTCTGCGTCTGATAGATTGCTTGGCTCTGTTTTGTTTAATTCTATTTTTGGTGCTTTGTTCTGTTCTTTCACTTGGGACATGTCTCTTTGTCTTTCTATTTTGGCTGACTTCCTGTGTTTGTTTCTGTGTATTAGTGAGGGCTGCTCTATCTCCTGGTCTTAGTAGGGTGGTCTTATGTAATAGGTGCCCTGTGGGGCCCAGTGGTGCAGCCTCCCTGGTCGCTAGAGCTGGGCGCTCCAGGCGTGTCCCTTTTATGGGTTGTGTGTATCCTCCTGTTGTAGTTGAGTGTTGGTTTTTGATTACTTGTTAATGGGAGGAATTGACCCTCAGGCTGATTGGTTGTGAGGACTGGTGGTGACTAGAATGGAGGAGTTGTGATGCAGACGTTGACCCTACAGATCTGGTTTTGCTTTAGCAGAGTTCTGGTGCTAGTTTACCCTTTGGGTTTATTGTCCTTGGAAGTAGCTGGATGATGCTCTGGCTCAGTCTGAAGTTGGCCACTGGGCCTGCCTGTCCCAGGGCCTTCTGGGAGGGGACCTGCTATAGGCCAAATTGAGCCACAACCTGTACCCTGCCTGGGGCCACCTGGCATGAGCCACAAAGCAATCCGTAGATGGCCATTGCCCATGTTGTACTTGGAGGTGCCTCAAGAGCCAAGCTCAAATCAAGGCCAGCTGTTGCTAGTGTCGGGCTTACGGCTGCTCAGCCAAAGGTCTGGGTCATGCTAAAGCCATATGCTGTTGTTTGGGTTTTGTGAACCTTTGACAGATTTTAGGAGCGTCCACAGCATGAGCCAAGGCAGTTGGTTTGTATGGAAAAGCCACTGCAGAAGGCTTGGGTGGGCCCAAAATTTGGGTGGGGTGGGATCTCAGGGAATCAACGAGGCAGGGTGAGCAGTGTTAGTCAGGAGACTCAGAATTGGTGGTTGCCTGCATTTGCCCTCCAGGAGAGGTGAGTGCTCAACAAAGAAACAGTGGCTTCCACCAGCTCCTCTGTCAGGGAGAAAGCTGCCCCTCCAGCCCTCGCTTTGAAGCCAGACAATTCAGTTTCTCCCCATATGTCCCTGGCACCTTTTAAGCTGCTACCTCAGTGCTGGAGCTCGGAGTAAGTCTGTCAGCATGTAAGTCCATGGGTGGGCCTTTTAAGAGGATCACCTGGGATTGCAGCTGCCCACCGTCTCAGTCAGCCACTCTCTCTGTTGGTTTTCACAACCAGAAGTCAGAAGTAATGGAGACTTCTCTTCCCAGCACTGAAACCCTGAACTGGGGAGTCTGATGGGTGCTGGGACCCCTCGCTCCTGGTGGGTGCGGGGAACCTCCGTAGCTGAAATACCTCTCTCGATTTTTAATGGTCACACACGGGTGTGGGATGAGCCTGTTTTGCATTACTGCTCCTTTTATCAGTCTCACGGTGGCATCTTTTTTATGTCCTTAGTTATAAGTTCAGCTCGACTTTAGGCGATCCTCAGTGATAGTTGTTGTGTAGTTTAATTGTAATTTTGATGTGGTCGTGAGAGGAGGTGAGAACAGCGTTTACCTACTCTGCCATCTTAACTGAAACTCTCTCTCTTTCTTTTATTTTTTATTGACTTATAATTCACCTAACATAAACTTCTCTTTTATTTCTGAACACCTATTTTCTCCTCAAAAACACAGAGCCTGCCAGCACTTTCACAGGTTCTCCCACAGGCTTCGGGGCCAGGGTTTGGTAGCTGGTGCTGAGGGAAAACCCTTGGTTTTATCCTTGCCCTCAGACTGTTCCAGTGGACTATGCCTGCCACTCATTGGGACAGAGAGACCGTTTTGTGATGTCTTATTCAACACTGTGCCTTTCTTCTGCTACTCTAAGCTTAGACAAACAAAAATTAGAGCCTAAACCTGGACATAATACTTCAAGTAAAGTAGGATTGCTTTTCTGTTTTAGTATGTTTATTGTTACATGTTTTTGTAATATTGCTGCTTTTGACTTAATTTATGTTTCAGGGTGATTTCCAATTATTTTCTTTTATACTCATGTCCTCCAGATTTATGTTTTTCTCCTAAGGATGACAGTGATAACATTTCCTTGTATTTTGCAACTTTGGGTACTGTGCTAGTGGCTTTCTTGATATTGTCTCATTATCTACCTCAATAATCTGGGTAGGAATTTTACAAACAAGGAAAATAAGGCTCAAAGAGATTGCATAACAGCCAATAGTTGGCATGGCTATGCTGAAGTCTTAGCCTTTTAAAACCGAAGTCCAATGCTATTTGCCATTAGTCTAGAGAACTTGATTCTGATCTTTAATGAATTTTATCATGGGGGGAAAAAGTATTGTTAGGGGGAGAGAGAGAGAGAAAGAGAGAGAGCGAGCACGTGAAAGGGAAAGAGAATAAGTTTAGATATTATTTAATTTTTTAAATTTATAATTTTAATTATAATACATAAAAATGTGTCAAAAATTATAAAATGGATACATTGAGTAGTCTCCTTTTCACCTTTGATTCTGATTGTCCAGTTCCCAACCTCCAAAAAGAAAATGAAAATTATTGTATATTAATTTCTTCTATATTTGTCTAGATACAAATACAGAGTTTTTCCCTGCACTCACCCTTTAAAAAAAAAAAAATTGATAGCATCCCAGGCACGCTATCTGTATCTTGTGTTTTCATGTGGGAGATCTTTTTCAAAGCAGTAAAGATGGAGCTCTTTCATTTGTTTTTATAGTGGCATTTACTTTCAAATAAATATTATCTCCACTCTTAAGCATATACTTAAAATGTTGAACACCTGTGTCCTCACAAATTTTTTATAGGAATATTCATAGTAGAATTTTTCATAATAGCCAAAAAGAGGAAACAACTCCAATGTCCATTAATTGCTAAATGGATCAATAAAATATGGTATATCCACACAATGGAATGTTATTTGACAATGAAATGAAGTATTAATACAAGCTACAACATGGATAAACCTTGAAAACATGCTAAATGAAAGAAGCTAGTCAAAAAAGACCGTATGTTGTGTGATTCCTATTATATGAAATAGCCAAAATAGAAACAGAAGATAGATTAGTAGTTACCATTAGATAGTAATGATGGTTATACAACTCTGTGAATTACTAAAAATCCACTGAGTTGTAAACTTTAAAAGGATGGATTTTATGGTATGTGAATTATATCTCACTAGAGCTATTAAAAAAGTTTATAAAATCTAACTTTTACTTTCCATCCTTTCAATTATTATCTTTATCCATATTGTCAGTCTCCAATAACAGGACAGTTATAATCTAGAGATTTCTAATTTGTATCATTATACTTTAAATTAATTAAATTACTTTATTCACAGGCAATATCCAATGCATCTTTCCTGAGCCATTTGGGCACAGAGCTCACCTTGGCAGAGTTCTAGCCATTCTCTGTGCCTGACTGCACAGCTGTATTTCTGTGAGGAGCCATTTCTCAGATTGACTTAAGCATAGCATCTTCTTTGGGTATCATTTCAGCTTAGAGCTGTCAGGCTATTTCTTATTGCAGAAGTTATTTACAATTATTAATGAATTCTCAGTCTCCAGCTGAACCAACTCTGTTCCTGTCAACATACTGTCTATTAGAAAAATGAATTGTCCTCATCCCAAGTCTGCCATCTGTCCAGGGCTGCCTCTTACCCGGTCCTGGAGCTGGGCAGATACAGTGGGTTTTTTGTTTTTTTTTTTCTTCTATCTTTCCTCTCGTTGGTGAATACTTTCTTAGTGATAATGTTTTTTTCCAAACTCTGTTGCCTCTGGATCTTCTTTATTGATCCTTTTTTTTTTTCTGCCTTAACTAAGAGAAAGTGATAAATATGAGGAAAAGTAGTGTATAAACTGTTCTAGAGTTCCATATAACGACTATTTTCTCTTTGTGTAATCCTATTAGCTCTAATATGTGCAGAGAGGTTTGGGACTGGAATTGAAAATGTTGTATTCATTTTGTTGGAAAGATTGGTTTCTTATAATGAAATATAAAATGTAAATGAATACCAGCAATATATTTCTCACAAATGTATTTATCTCATTTATTCCTGTCTTTTTTGTGTTTCTTTTTCAGCCGTCCTGCAAGCTTGTCTTCCCCATAACCAGCACATATGGTTCAATGTTTGCAGCCTGGAGGATCCTTGAAGTAATGAGAGAAGAGTCTGCAGCAAGTGACTGGTTGGCTTCAGTCGAGTCATTGCTGCCTGTTACTACAGTGATCCCTGTGCATGTTTTTCTCCTGCTGGCCCACCTCCTTGTTGAAGATAAAGGACAAAATCTTTGCCAAATACTAAAGGTCACTACAAAGTTAGCCCAAGCAGATTCCTCTCAGGTAAAGCCAAAAAAATAATGGAACAGTAATGAGGGTAAAGCTTAAGTATTGGAATTATAGATTTTTAAATTATTATTATTATTTTTCATTGGGGAATTGGGGAAGGGGAACAGCCAAGTTGTTGTCCTTCAGTCTTAGTTGTGGAGGGCACAGCTAGCTCAGCTCCAAGTCCAGTCGCCATCCGCCACCCATCGGCAGCTCGTGGCCACTCAGCTCAAGGTGCCGTGTTCAATCTTAGTTGCAGTGGGTGTAGCCCACTATCCCATGCTGTAGTCAAACCGGCAACCTTGTTGTTAGGAGCATCGTGCTCTCACCAGATCAGCCACTCAGCCATCCTGCCACCTGTTGGCAGCTCAGTGGTGACTCAGCTCGGGCGCAGCTCACTGGCCAATGTGGGAATCGCACCAGTGACCCTGTTGCTAAGAGCTAACCAACTGAGCCACTCGGCCAGCCATAGATTATTCTTACTTTGTGGTTGATTTTTTTTTTCTGTCCTTTATCTTCCCAATTTGTTCTTTTTTCTTTTTACTCTGAGTTAATCTATACTTAATGATGCAAACATTTCTTTCATGAGATCACACTTTGCAAGGAAATCTGCACATGATACTTTTCTGGTATTTTTGTTTATTGGTGGATTTACTAATTTGTAATGCTTTTGTTAACTCTTGGAGCCCATTCCAAGGTGGATATTCCTTAATTCTAATATTGATCTTTTAAGGTGGATGCAAAATAATTAACTCAGTTTAAAGATGCCTATACAATAGGCATTAACCTCTTCTTGACTTGTTGCAATTTGATCCTATCTTTAATCAGTCATTTAATAAACTAAAAAATGTTGGGTCCTTGCTGTATATGGTACTGATCAAAATGCTGGGATGTGAGGATAAACAACCATATTTGCTGTCTGGACAGACCTTGGAGTGTAATAGAAAGTAGTCAGGCATTAATAAGACTTTTTACCCCCCTTTTAAACTATATATTTAGCATAGTACGCTGTAGTTTTTTTTCCATTGGATAGAACCTCTAGAATGCATTTCCTGTGACGAGAAGGATCTTCTAACCAAGTAGATATGGTACTTTTATTTTCTTCTGTTTATTCTTACCTATTCTTGTGTTTCTTTTCAAGCTTGGTGAGGAAAAAAGTCCATCTCTTTATGGAAAGTTATGTGTTCCTATAGGAAGAAAATTTGGTGGTGGAGGTGGATACATGTGTATTTAAGATATGAAGTTAATGTGTTTGGAATTTTTTTTTTGGCCCCAACTTGTTATGCTGATTCCTTTTTGTCAAGGAAACAACTGCTGCTATCTCACAGATAGTTTTTCTCCTGACCAGGCCTCTGCTGCTTTGATTCTGCAAGTGGGTCTGCAGTGCACTCATGCCTCCTACTTTATTTCTTTCTTCACCTTCTGTAATGATCTTGCTTCTACCAAACGTTTTCTTTCAGTGTTGACACTTTGCAGGATAATCTCTTTAGAATAGTTAATGCACAGATAATGTCTGGGGATTATCCAAAGAAGTCATACAGTAGATTACCTGATCTGTGTATGCCACTGATATAAAATACATATTACATCAATACAATGTGTATTGATACTCAGGAAATGCAATGAGTCTTTGAAATTCTAGGGTGATACTTTCGGTTATAAGTAACAGAAACCCATCTGTCTTAAACTGTGTTTATTAGGTCAAGAATTTAGAACAACTATGGCCTAGACAGTGTATGATTCATTGCACAGTTTGTTCCTTTCTTCTATGGATTGGCCTGAAGCCAAAAGCCTTATAGTCTTATATTCACAATCCAAAAGGAAGCGAGGTGTAGAGATATTATACTTGGATTGGCTTTGTGTGCGTGGGTCATGTGCTCACACCGGGTCTACCTTTAGGGTAGGAAAATGGGGCTCTTTAATCGTTGATCCTGGGCAGAACGGAGGTGGGTGAAGTGTCAGGGTCCTGAAATTGCCTATGCCACCAGGATCATGTGAATGAGGGAGGGGTGAGTCCCCAGAGGAAAAATAGTTTCCTGGTAATAAAAGTGGGAGTATGCGAAATAGGAAAAAACGTGGAGAAGAACTCCTCAGTTAGTGTTTTGGGGACACTGAAATGCTATAAATGAGTTTCAGGTATGCTAAGATATTATTTCCCCCACCTCTAAGCTCTCAGGTAGCCAGGTAAGTGGCTAAGCTCAGGGTGTCAGAAGTCCTTTGCTGGTAGCTTCTAGCCACCTAGTGTTTCATTTATTTACCCCAAATATCCTTATAAACATTATCCCTCATGTGTGCCATGAAATGGAAAAGGTTGGGAAGCACTAGAGTGACCATCAGGTTCATTTATTTATTCAGTAAATGTTTATTAAGAAACGGTGGTATAAATTGAAGTCACATTACACTGTTGATTACTTCTTGGATGGTTTTGAAAGGAATGAGAAAGAACACCCAGTGTAATTATGCTTGTTAAGGTGAGTGGTAGGGTGAATGTTTAAATATAATTACCCAGATTCATGTAGAAACAAAGGCAGTATCATTAATAAGAACTTGGAAGTGGATTAAGTGTTTTGAAAAGGACAAAACAAGTGTCCTAGAAGTAGGAGATAGTGTTTTTTTCCTCATTTTTCTTTATGAAGTGACAGTATCATACCATTTCACTGGCCTTTAGCTACAAGGTAAAGCAGCCAAAAAGAGAGGACTGAGTATTTTGAAAAAGCAAGCTTTCTAGTTGTGAGTAGATACTTGGAATACATTCTATTAAAATGAGTTAGGGTTGTAATTTATTATTGGAGTGTTTTCTATTTCTTTCATTAGGTTGACAAGGCTACATGAAATGTGTTCATATTTTACATCTGTTTGTCCTTTCTCACGTTATAGAAAGAATCTGTATTATATATAAGCAATCACTGCCTCAAATTCCTGGGGGAGTTGATAGTAACAAAAAGTCTTAGACTACTAATAAGCAGAAGCTAAGTAAATAGGTAGGTAAGAGTAGGAATTTAAAGGCTGTCTGCCATCTCTGTTTTGGTGGTCACTTAACCCCTGTAGTAGAATTTGCTGGCCTGCAGTATACTTATCTAAGTATTGTGTTTTGTGACAAATCTTGAAAGGGATGTGCCATATATAAAGTATGTTTTGGTATTATTGTTATTATTCTAATAATAATTTCTGTGAAATAATTCATAGAAATTATTTTTAGTAATACTAATTAATAGGAATACAAATTATCGATATCAACTAGTAATGTTTTTATTATTGTTAATAATGGTAAGAAAATGTGCTTTAAAAAAAATGTGATTCTCCTACTTCTTGTTGTGCAGTTTGAGGAATCCCCCTTCTGCAATGAGTTTTTATCCTTAGTCTCTCACTTGGTTCCCCTGCGGCATGCATTTGTATTAGGTTTAATACATATAGGCCATAGAAGATTATGAAGCTAAGTAGTCTGAAGGGAACTTGGCTTTGTGAGGACCATTTTAGAGTTAACTGGATACAGATGATGATGTTAAAATAACTAGATTGTTACCCAAAACTACAGCAATAAATCAACACTTGAAAGAATACTGAGAAGCTTTTTTTTTTTTTTCTCTGTATCTAGAAATGCTGTCAGTAGTTACTAATCCCAATAGTTTTCTTACCTGGACATGAGACTTAATTTGCAGAAGATGCAAGCTCAGGTCAGGCAGTGCTCAGTAAAAGTTAAGTGCCTTTTACATTCTTGGAGGTGATGTGTTAGAGTGTTCTGGGGAGAGATCCAAGAATGAGCATCCTGGGTGAATTTCTGTGGGTTTTGAAAGTTTTAAACATATTGATTTAGTTTAGAGAGAGGTTTTCATATCATAGTTTGTGCTTATAAATGGAGTGCCATCTATTTCCTTAATTTGTGCCTGTCCCCCCATTCCCCCTTCCCGGAAATAACAGTTGATAGATTCATGTGCTTTTTGGTTATATTTATATAACAGTCACCACATTTCTGATAACTGTGAGTAATGTGACTTTTTTACATTTTGAAGTAAATCATTCAGGCTGTCTTCAGAGATACCTAAATGACAATGGAAACACATGGCTTGCTTTGTGGCTCATGTACAGTAATGTCTAGTTGGCCTCATTCTCTCGTCAGAGGAAAAGGAAGCTATTTCCTATCTCTGATTTGGCTGGGATCTGCTCCCATCTGGTATGAAATCGATAGTAGTGAATGTTAAACGTAGGCTCTACTGAGTTACATTAAAGAAGAATGTGGACCCTAGGCCTAAATGAGGATGTTTTCTAAACTTCAATATGGCTTTTTAAGGGAAACCTCAAATCATGTTTCAAACCCTTAGCCAATGGTTGACCATCCTGTGTAACATGATTGTGGACATTTTGGAAAGATCTCAGACTGATATAATCTCCTTAAGAAGAGGTTAATAACTTAGTTAATCAGTGAGTATTGATTGACCTCCTATTTCCACCTTCATGAGAGCCCAGCACGATGACACTGCACTTGTGAAGAGCCACATTTGGTTCGGTGATCTGCACTGTGTGCCTCTAATACACATTTAACAGGTGATAGCACAAGTTTTCTACTTCTTCAACGCATTCCATATACCTGATTGTATCTTGCTTCTAAGACTCTGAGCCAGAAACTTGACGTTTTCTTCCTGTCTTCCTATCTTTCTCTTCCATTTATGACTTTGTTTAGTTATTTGCCAACTCTGACCTTGGCTTTCAGTAATTGCCACCCCCATTCCTTCTGGTAGCTTCAGGTAAACTGTTCTAAATCTACCTGGGATCCCCCCCCACTGAACCCCCCTAATGTTTCTCTGGCTCCTGACCCCTTGGGAAGAAAGGGATATTACTTACCTCTTAAAACCTTCTCCGAATAGCTATTAGCTTAGCTGTATTGTATTAACTATATTATTAGCTAATTACTTAGTATATGTTTATTAATATATTAAGTATATAATAACTATACTTTTTTATTATATTAACAGTATTTAAATATGTAATAATTATAATTATTTATTATGTTAACTATA